ATCAATCAATAAATAATTCAATCAATCATTAATTCAATAAATAAATAAATAATTCAATAAATAAATAATTCAATAAATAAATACATTCAATAAATAAATAAATAATTCAATAAATAAATACATTAATGTGTTAACTTGGGTCCAGTCTGTAATCTCAGTTTATTTGATTTTTTATTTATTTATTGGCAGGTCAGTGCGGGGGCCGCAATGCGAACGCAAGGGACCGAGGAAAGATCACTCAGATTCGGCTGCCAAACACGCGCGCCTCCGTCCAAGTCGCCGCCCCTCGAATGTATCATTCCGCGCCCGACATGGACGACCGCCCGGGACAGGAGCTGGCCTTTGCTGGAAGCCGCGTCCTCGTACGTTTCCTTTAAGTTCTCCATTAATAAGTGTGGAGATGGAGGAGGAGGAGACGTCGTCCCTAATTGATGGCGTTCTTCCCAGCAAATGAAAAACGTCTCCGGATTATTATTGATCGGATCTAATGATGTAATTACGCCGCTCCGGGTTCGCCGGGCGGTTGGTATAAATTGGGGCCGCGGTTGACATTCCCTCTTAAGAGGGGCCCCTCCGCCGGCGATTCAATTAGCGCAGACTGATGAAGATGACACGGGGCTCCGGGGTGAGATGAAGACCCTCATTGAAGGGAGTGGTAAAAAAAAAAGCACATTTAGGTCTCCAATAATTCAATCATTGGGATGATGAAGCTCTCAGAGGTCATTTCTTTACGCGTTTCGCTGCTCGCCAACTTTTTGTTAAAAGCTGAACTCCGGGCCGACGTAACGGATACAAAGTGATAGAGATCCGTCATCATTCATACGGCCCTACATGTATATTTTACATGAAAGCAGAGTACCTGAATGTGACCTGGTGTCAGCCTTTTGCTGCTGGAGTGTGAGGGAGAAGCAGCACAAGGAGCCAACCAGGTCATGTGCTGACAAGAAGCATGCTGATAGGAGGAGAGAGCTGAGTGATAGATGAGCTCATCACACATTAATACTTTATTCATTGTATTTGTTTAAATACAAGCAGCGTAACTGTCTAGGTTTGACTTGGGATCAGCATCTTGTAGCCCCTGTACAGCGGAGGTCAGGCTGGGGATTGGAGAAGCAGCACAGGAAGCCAATCAGTTGACCAAAAGCATGCTGATAGGAGGAGAGAGTAGAGTGACATAGAGACATGAGATGATCACTGTACTTCTTCTCCTTTCACTGTCCAGTCACAGGCTGTGGGTGGGTGTGGGGCAACATGGGCTCAGGGGAAATGATGCTGCTCTGAGGACATTGGAACTCTTCAGATTGATGGTGAATATGGTGAAAGCTGGTTTTGCTATGTTATCTCTTCATGTTTCAACTGCTAAAGGGTCACATGTCATTCTGTGTGTTAGTTACAAATCTTTATACATGGCTACACCCCATAAGAAAGCTGAAATCAGTCTTGCAGGGCTGAGGGGGGTCACAAGCTGAAATCAGTCTTGCAGAGCTGAGGGGGTCACAAGCTGAAATCAGCCTTGCAGGGCTGAGGGGGGTCACAAGCTGAAATCAGTCTTGCAGAGCTGAGGGGGTCACAAGCTGAAATCAGCCTTGCAGGGCTGAGGGGGGTCACAAGCTGTGATGGGATTTGTTTTCTCTTTCTGTGTTCCGCCGCAGTATCATGGGATGATGCCAATGAGTGGAGCTCAGCAGTCCCGCGGAAGAGGACAAGTCTGGCTGGTTGGAGCTCCCCCCAGTCTTTCTACTCCAGAGCACCCCCAACACGACTCCGCCCCTCCAGACTCAATAAGCCAATCAAGTAACAGGACGAAGCAGGTATTAATTTACAAGTTCTCAGAAATGGAAGTAAATGAAACAGTGTAGACAGTGCCATATGCGGCCGCTAATATACTGTATATATATAAACTTTTAACCAACTTACAGCTTTATTTTGGCCACTAGATGGAGCTGAGGAGCATGTCCAATAAGTATTTATTTCCTGTGCTCCTCAGCTCCATCTAGTGGCCATAATGAGGTATCACACTGCAGACATTCTAAAAAGAAAATATGTCTAAGAATATTTATTGTTACATTTATTTGCACAGAACAAACATGCAGAAAGATTCATAGCGCATCTAGCTATCTATTTTCTGCTTCAGATTTATGCAGTGCCACCGTTGGCCACACACCCTACTATATTAATTGGGGCAATGATGTCAGAGGGCGATAGTGCGGGACAGGATGTTGAATGTTAGCGTTTCTATACAGACTGGGCCCCTTTGTAGCGTTCCCTCCTACTGTGAGGGAGTTTCAATGTAAAATGTTTATCTGTGAGTAAAAAAATCTAACTTTCATAATGTGTAACTGAACCAACCCCAAATGGGAACTTCAGAGGAACCCTTCTATACAGACCATATATGATATCAGTCCATATATGGGTAATGATGTCAGAGAGAACTTTGGGATACCCCTTCACAGAGTTTATATTTAATATCAGTCCATATATGGGTAATATTGTTAAAGAGAACTCCAGGAAACCCCTCCCCAACGTCCATATTTGATATCAGTCCATATATGGGTAATAATGAACACCAGGGAAACCCCTTCTCCAGGGTCCATATTTGGTATTAGTCAATATATTTACAATGATGTCAGAGAGTCAGAGAGCACTGCAGGGAAACCCCGTCCCATATATGGCCAATGATTTCACAAAGAACTTCAGGGAATCCCTCCCAAAATCCATATTTGGTATTAGTCCATATATGGGGCAATGATGTCAGAGAACACTGCAGGAAGCCCCTCCCCAATGTCCATATTTGGTATTAGTCCATATATGGGGCAATGATGTCAGAGAGCACTGCAGGAAGCCCCTCCCCAATGTCCATATTTGGTATTGTCCATATATGGGGCAACGATGTCAGAGAGCACTGCAGGAAGCCCCTCCCCAATGTCCATATTTGGTATTAGTCCTTATATGGGGCAATGATGTCAGAGAGCACTGCAGGAAGCCCCTCCCCAAAGTCCATATTTGGTATTGTCCATATATGGGGCAACGATGTCAGAGAGCACTGCAGGAAGCCCCTCCCCAATGTCCATATTTGGTATTGTCCATATATGGGGCAATGATGTCAGAGAGCACTGCAGGAAGCCCCTCCCCAATGTCCATATTTGGTATTGTCCATATATGGGGCAATGATGTCAGAAAGCACCGCAGGGAAACCCCTCCCCAATGTCCATATTTGGTATTAGTCCATTTATGGGGCAATGATGTCAGAGAGCACTGCAGGAAGCACCTCCCCAATGTCCATATTTGGTATTGTCCATATATGGGGCAACGATGTCAGAGAGCACTGCAGGAAGCCCCTCCCCAATGTCCATATTTGGTATTGTCCATATATGGGGCAATGATGTCAGAGAGCACTGCAGGAAGCCCCTCCCCAATGTCCATATTTGGTATTAGTCCATATATGGGGCAATGATGTCAGAGAGCACTGCAGGAAGCCCCTCCCCAATGTCCATATTTGGTATTGTCCATATATGGGGCAACGATGTCAGAGAGCACTGCAGGAAGCCCCTCCCCAATGTCCATATTTGGTATTGTCCATATATGGGGCAATGATGTCAGAGAGCACTGCAGGAAGCCCCTCCCCAAAGTCCATATTTGGTATTAGTCCATATATGGGGCAATGATGTCAGAGAGCACTGCAGGAAGCCCCTCCCCAA